TATGTTCCGATTGGTAATGGCAAAAAGTATGTAATGGTGTTTGAGCACTGGTGATTACAAAGAAGAGTGTCCACTCCGGATCCAAGATGAAATATCTTACTTACACCATGTACCATCATTCATATGCCCACTAGTTGAAAATTGTAGTTCAGGTTTTAGTATGTCAGCAAGTTGAATTCACTGGCAGTATTTGTATCGAAATCCGTGAGCATGGGAGAAATTGAATCTTACTAAACAAGTTATGAAGATTTGATAAGGAGAAAACTTAACACATGGCCATGGCCATTTCCTTAACGGACTCTTCAAAACATTGTAACATCTAATTAGATATACCTAAGTAATGATTATTCCCAGAAAGTAGCAATTATAAAGACTTAAGTAATGGTTACTCTCGTAATTTAGCAATTGGGTTTGAAATGCTTTTGGCATATATTCAACCTTGTCTACCTCTTATTGCATTATGAAAGAACACTACTGTTTATTCTACAAGAACTTTAACTTAATGTAATCATTTTTCATTTTAAAAATTTGATCCACTAGCAAAAAAGATGGAACTAGAAAAGGACGATTAAAAATAACCTGTTTAATTTAATTGTCTTGCGGTAACCTTCTCTTACTGCAGAACAATTAAATTAAACAGGTTATTTTTAAGCGTCCTTTTCTAGTTCCATCGTTTTTACTAGTTGGTGGTTCGAATCCCTGCGACGGGGTGAGCTTCCGTTGCTCGGTCCCAGCTCCTGCCAACCTAGCAGTTCGAAAGCACGCCAAAAAGTGTGAGTAGATAAATAGGTGCCACTCTGGCGGGAAGGTAAATGGCATTTTCGTGTGCTGCTCTGGTTTCGCCAGAAGCGGCTTAGTCATGCTGGCCACATGATCCGGAAAACCTGTCTGCGGACAAACGCCAGCTCCCTCGGCCTATAAAGCGAGATGAGCACCACAACCCCAGAGTCATCCGCGACTGGACTTAACTGTCAGGGGTCCTTTACCTTTACCTTTAACCTTCTCTTTATTCTCTCCCCCCTCCCTACACTGCCAGGACAGAATCAGGATCTAGTGACGAAACTGATTCCTAGGTGGCTTTTTTCACGAATGATCCAGCAATTTTAAAGCCCCTTTGTCTCACAGTCTCCTTCAAACATTCAGAAATAGAAACCTGGGATACAGCCATGTTTGTAAAACTAAGATCTCAAGACTTGAACCAGACCTCTCTTCTACACGTCCATTCAGATGAATCAGCAATGGATGGCATGTTGGGGCTGCCCTGCTCACCTGACCTCAGTTTGGTTGAACTGATGCAGCAAATTGAGTTGGAGAGCAGGGGTGTGTGTGTGGAAACAGTGACATTGCTCCTGCCAGAAAGTCATCAAACAAAGCTACTAGTATTGATGGCTAGGCTCTGCCTTCATAGCTGGAGGCAGTAATGCTTCTTAATACTAGTGACTAGAAGCCACAGGAGGGAGGGAGGGTGCTCTTGTGCTTGTGTCCTGCTTGCTGGTTTCCCAAAGGCACTTGACTGGCCACTGTGAGAAAAGGATACTTGATTTTATCAGAACTGAGTGAAGATGGCGGCTGCCAGCAACAAAAAGACCTTTGGATTGATTCGACAGAAACACCAGTATGAGAGGAGATGCTGTGAACTTATAGAGAGGAATCATAGACATAAAATCCACACAGAAACATATCATTGCTTGTTTTAACTCGCTTGTGGGAACAACTCAGAGGCTGTGAAAGAAGGAAGGTTAACAACAGAATTAGAGGAACCATCGGAAGTGACTATGAAAAGCAGTAGAAGTATGAGATGATCAGAACCCTCCGAACTTGAAGCATGGGAAGTCCTATTCAAAATTTATAATTTGGCAGAATATTTGGATTATTTGATATGTATATGTATAATTTGGAATATTTAATGTGATTTGATTGGATTGATAAAGTGGAAAATTTAATTAAAATGAATTTAAAAAAAGAGAGAAAAGGATATAGACTAGGTGGACCATTCGCCTGATCCAGTATACTCTTGTTATGTTCTTAAGGAAAACCACTGCTGAACATCTTTCCTTCCTTAACAAACTGCATATGGCCGTGTGCCAGGTTTACACTAGAAATAAGGTGTGTGTTGTTGTTTTTTCCATGCTCAATAGGGGAAAATGCTCCAGGTTCAGTTGCTGGCATCTTCAGGTAGGCTTGGAAATTCCTGTGTTTGCAGCCATGGGGAGGATCTTCCAGTCAGTGTAGACCAGCAGTCTTCAACCTTTTCAGACTTGGACCCATGTTTAACCCAAACTTGCATATTCGGATCCATTTAACTTTCTATCACCTATTGGTATGGTGATAGTGCTGATATTGTGATTCACCTTATACCAGGCCACAAACCAGTAGAGAGTCTGACCCACCAGCTGAAGACCAATGATGTAGACAGTACTAAGCTGGACAGATCAATAGTTTGACTTGGTGTAAGACCGCTTCCTTTACATGTAGCCTAGAGGGGGCGAACCTTTTTCAGCACATTTTTCCTTCAGGGTTCAAATCCTCACTCAGCCATGAAGCCCCCTGGGTCACTTCGAGCCAGCCATTGTCTCTCAGCTTAACCTACCTCACAGAGGGGGGACAATTGTGTCTGCCATCTTGAGCTCTTTGGAGAAAAGGTGGGACGCAAGAATGAATGAATGAAATTGTATAGATATACTATTTTATGGTTTCTTTTGGAGCTGCTATAACTAAAGCTTTCTGGAGGACATGAATGCCTTTAAGTTTTGGGTTTGTTTGTTTTTAATCTAAAGTAAAATGTTATAAAGTTAATGATATCCCCGCTGCTGAGGAACTGCAAGGCAAAGGAAGATAAATGTACTTTTGTTCCTGGTACTTAATGATTCTTTAAAGTACTCTTCCCCTTCCGCACACTTTTCAGAAAATATGACCAATATAATAAGACCAATGTTCCTCCTAATGTAGATGTTTAATGTGCTCCTAATGACATATAAGCTATGAAAGAATGGGGGGGGGGGGAGAGAGAGAGAGAGACTGGGGTTGTATTGGGAAGGATGTTGATTGAGTGTTAAGACATGGAGGGGAAATACTGGCTTCAGGCAGCCCTTTAGCTTTACTTATTTATGTGATAAAAATAAGATTTCTAAAATGGAAACAGCCAGAGCCTGTTTCATATTACTATGACAAGTATAAGATGTAGGGCATGCAGATATTTTGGCTCAAAACCAACAGGCTGATTAAATTTGATAGCCTCGTAATAGAATTTTATAAGACTTCTGCATAGGTGTGGGGTGGTGTTTTTTCCTTCTTTTTAAATGTGCTTGCATGCTGAATAAGCTCTTTGCCATTGGTTTGTAACGCCCCCCCACCCAACGTTTTACTTGGTTAAAAGATCTGCTAAATTTAATATATACTGAAGGGCAAGCAAATGGGAAATATCTAAACTGCTCTGACATTCGAACAAGCAAAGTGGCAAAATATGAATTTCACAGACTAGGCTCATACTTTGTTATCTTATCTGTTGAAAAGCACTTTACAGCTGGGAAGCACCGTAACAGCAACTGCGCTGCTTTTGATCAGCAGGAACATCTTACATTACAACTGGTGAGATGCATATCAAAACCAAATGCATAAATAAATGACAAAGTTCATTTACAAGTTAACTAGCCTTGGGAAAGACATCTATACATTTCCAATTGCCCTGGGAAACAAAAGATGCTTCCTGCCTACTTCCCCTAAGACGCAAGACAATTTTATTTTTGTTTGTTGTCATCTGCTTTGTGTAATTTTTCTATTCTTCCTGTCAGAAACAAACCACACTGGAAAGTGGTCAGATAAAAAAAATCTAGTTTATGATATAAATCATATAATCACAGTAGTGTGTAGGGGGGAGTGATTTGGGAACAGCTCATAATTATGAAGATGTTCAGCATGATTCTGGCATTTCTTAAAATACAAGGTTTATTTAAAGAAGAAAATCATCAGGGAAAAAGAAAACCTCAGGCACTGGTCACAATCTTTTCATTCATTGTGAAAGGGCAGGTTCCAACCAATGCAGGCTTATTATTAATATTATGATTATACATAGATTTATTGTTGTTGTTTAGTCATTTAGTTGTGTCCAACTCTTCGTGACCCCATGGACCAGAGCAGGCCAGGCACTCTTGTCTTCCACTGCCTCCCGCAGCTTGGTCAAACTCATGCTGGTAGCTTCGAGAACACTGTCCAACCACCTTGTCCTCTGTCGTCCCCTTCTCCTTGTGCTCTCCATCTTTCCCAACATCAGGGTCTTTTCCAGGGAGTCTTCTCTTCTCATGAGGTGGCCAAAGTATTGGAGCCTCAGCTTCAGGATCTGTCCTTCCAGTGAGCACTCAGGGCTGATTTCCTTCAGAATGGAGAGGTTTGATCTTCTTGCAGTCCATGGGACTCTCAAGAGTCTCCTCCAGCACCATAATTCACAAGCATCAATTAATAATTAATAGATTTATTAATTAATAGATTTATTAATTGCCTTCTAAACCACCATCTCAGGGCAATTTACACAGATAATGAAAGATAATTAAAAACAGGTAACATCACAAAAACAAAAAACATTTATTCAGCTGGGAAAGCCTGTTGGAACAAAAATATCTTCAGTTGCTTCCAGAAAGTGCAGATGTGATGGGTACCTGTAGCATCTCAACAGGAATGCTGTTTATAGAATCATAGAATTGTTGAGTTGGAAGGGACCCTGAGGGTTATCTAGTCCAACCCCCTGCAATGCAGGAATCTCAACTATAGCTTCTGTGACAGGTGGCTGTCGAACCTCTGCACAGAACAGGGACATCCACACTAAAGTCCTACTCCAAGTTACTGTGAAGCGGGCTTCTGAGCTCTTTGAAACTTACAGGAGAAACTCTTCCACAGCCTGGGTGTATAAAGGCTGAGGCAGTCTCTTATTTCATAGAATCATAGAATCAATTGTAGAGTTGAAAGGAACCTTGAGCATCTTCTAGACCAATGCAGGGATATGCGGCTGTCCCATACGGGGATCGAACTTGCAGCCTTGACATTATCAGGACCCTGCTCTAACCAACTGAGCTATCTAGGCTTAAAAGCCTATGTGATATAGTAAGTAGATGCTTTGAGATGTGAGACTTAAATCAGGTGCAAGTCTTTCCTCATCCATGGACTGAATTGGGTGATTGGGGGCAAGTCATTTGGGGCTATTTTAATATTTTACAGGGTTGGTTTTTTTTTAGGATACAGTGGTACCTCAGGTTAAGTACTTAATTCATTCCGGAGGTCCGTTCTTAACCTGAAACTGTTCTTAACCTGAAGCACCACTTTAGCTAATGGGGCCTCCTGCTGCCGCTGCGCTGCCCCCACACAATTTCTGTTCTTATCCTGAAGCAAAGTTCTTAACCTGAAGCACTATTTGTGGGTTAGCGGAGTCTGTAACCTGAAGCGTCTGTAACCTGAAGCGTATGTAACCTGAGGTACCACTGTACAGGAACTGAGTCAGATGATTCACCCACCTTGCCCAGTATTTTCTACAACTGGGGTCTTCCATGTGGCCCCTTCTTGTTGTCTGCCAAAGCCCTTCACAATTTATACATTTCTATCATGTTGCCTCTTATTTGCCTTTTCTCAAAAATGGGCAGATCCAGCAAGGTTGTTCTTACTCAGTGTTACAGGTCTCAGTGCCGAACTACAGGGGAGCTAGCTGGTTGCTTGTTTGTTTTTTTGCCTCAGGTGATGCCTCCAGATGTGCGCCATTGAGACTCCCAGCCTGTGTGTGTACACAAATGTGCATGGGTGTATATGTGCCAATCTAGTCTTTGACCCAGGTGAAATAAAGCCTAGTTTCACCCTTGTGAGGTCTGATCGCTGAGGCATTCCTGAGAAAACTAGTTGTCTGGCATAGCTTCTTCCTCTTTAGCTTTCCAATTTCTATGCCCTGAAGCAATTTGTTCTGCTTCTCTTATGGGGAAGAATAGGATCATGGTCAATGGTATCCTGTGGTAAATCCACACCACCCTTCTCATTTATTTCCTGTTTTTATTTCAGTAATGAAAACCTCACAAGAAGCATATGTTTCTCTAGAAATTTTAAACTTTATGTCAGGCATTCTTTCATTTCCTGACAGGGTATGATTGATTTGGTAATGAAGTGCAGATGAGGTGTCTGAAGACCCATTCTGAGGGATTGAACACGTGATATTGTATCTTTATTAGCCTATCAGAATTTTTTTAAAAAAAACCTTGGCAAAGAAATAATATCACTTTGGCTTCCCAGCTTGCATATTCATATATATAAGAAATAAATAATCAGTTTATATGCACATGATTTCCTATACCGTAACCAAATATAAATAGCAATGTTCATGACCGTAGAGTTTTATATGGGTAGGTCAAATCTAGATACAATATTTTGCCTGACTTAGGGAGATATAAAACCTCACAAGCTCCTCTCAAAATAAAGGGTCCCATGGATAAAACAGAGTGCTGGAAGATAAGCAGAACTGAACTGTTTAGTGTTCTGACTGGTTGATACTCTCTCACCTGAGTTTGTGACATTATTAGCTAAGATAGCTAAACAGTGTAACTCAAGGACATAGAATTATTTCCAGGGGACCAAAATGAGGATCAAGCAATGAGTTCTATCAAGGTTGACATTTCCAAATGTGGAAATCTTGCTTTCCTTAACCCATTATTTTATATAGATCAGAGCCCTATATATATAGTCATTATAGGATGCATGCAACTGCTGCTTTGAACCTGTGCAAAGTTACTTTGAGTTTGCCTTTCTGGTTGGGTTGGGTAGAGTAGAAATATATTTCAAGCCCCCGCCCAAAGGTAGGAGCTAACTGGTCCCATTCCACCACTTCTCCACTGGAAGCTGAAGCATTCTGGGCCTGCTTTTCAATCCCTTCCTACATGTTTCCATGTAGTTTGCCACTAAAATCAGGACGCTATATATGTTTACTTTGATAGCAGCACCTCTAATTGTACATTACTGTACATGGCAATTTCAGGATGGGAACATCAATCAAGTCAATAGACAGGTGTTGATCAGACTAGCAGTTCCTTGAATGCTAGCCAGTGCAGATTAGGATACATAATGAATCACTGCCCTTTGAAGGTCGGCATCCAAGCCTAGTGCCGAATAGCATCTAACTTGGCATTATCTGCAGATATAAGCAGGTTTGAGTCAAAAGTTCTGTGCTGGAATCCAATCTGTGTCTACCAATGACGGTTGGGATCATGCTTGCTAGTCCTGTCACCCCACTATCTTCAAATCACCACAGATTTGAGGCCACACATGCCTGCATTGTATATAACCTCAGTATGCATCATCTATTCCCTACCTTTTTGAAGACTTCCAACTGCATGGTCTGAGTGTATATTGGCACTATGGGGCATAATTCAGTGATAGGTCATCTTCTTTGCATTCAGAAGAATCTCCCCCATCTGATGCCCCCAGATTGAACAGACCCACCCTGTGCTGTCCAGGGGCAACTCACCCCGTATCCAGCTCTGTATTAATTTGGTGTGTATGTGTGTGTTTAATTAGGATTTTTGCTCATGTTGTACAGGAACCCCACATGTGGCAGCCCCTGCATTGTGGAACTCCCTACAAAGATGCATCTGGCACCACAACTGAAGAAGGATATTGTCAAGCTGGAATGTGTGCAGAGGAGGGCAACCAAGATGATCAAGAGGAGATGGAGAAGATATATGATACCCATCTTCAAATATCTAAAGGGCTGACGCATGGAAGATCGAGCAAGCTTGTTTTCTCCTGATCTGGAGTGTAGGACCTGTACAATCCATTAGGATTCAAGTTACAAGATAGGAGATTCTGACTCAACATCGGGAAGAACTTTCTGACAGTAAGAGCTGTTTATTAATGGAATGGACTCCCTTGGGAGGCTGTAGACTCTGTTTCCTTGGAGGTTTTTAAGCAGAGGTTGGATGGCTTTGTCATGGATGTTTTGCAAGGGAGTTGGACTAGATGATCCTTAGGGTCCCTTCTAACTCTACAATTCTATGAGTCATTATACAGCTTTTGGCAAATGCTGAAAACACATCTCTTCACCCTGGGTTTTGGCACCTGAGACACTTCAAGGTATTGAGAGAAGCATGCTGTTCTTGGGAATGAAAACCGTAAAATGGAACTAAAAACATACAGGTTCTTCATACATTACATTCAATTAATATATATATAAACTTTGTACGCAATAGCTGAGCTGTACAGGTAAACAACTGTACACTCCTTCCCCTGAAGACTTGTGCATGTGCAGAAACAACTTGTATCTGTGTTCAGTGCAATGTGTGAAGAAGTCTATATTGATTTCTGATTTGAGGTTTTCCTTCCCCAGCTTGATTTAGGGCCTGTCACTTTACAGCAGAAGAAATTTTATTCTCCTTGTTCTTGACTCTTGCAGGGGTGACATATTATTCTCTTTCCCTCAGTATTTGATTTTGTGTTTGTTTTCCCATGGACCCCTAAGCAACGATTTCCAGACCTTCTTTGTGCTTTCAGTTCTTTGGGTCAGGCGGAAGGTGGTAGCTTGGCTTGTAAGATATATTTGCAGTGACTGAACGGGTGTCTGTTCCACTTTCACCTCCTGCCCTCAACACCACAGCTGAAGAAATTCACTTTTATAAATAGAATATCTATTTGCCTCTAAATTCCAGCTACGAACTTGCCCTGGTAGCCTCTGAGAATCTAATTTTGTTCTCTGTGGAGCTGATTCTTCTCTTCCAGTCACCCACTTAACACTCTGGCATAGGGGTGTCACTCTTGGTTTGCACTGTTGTAAGTTATAGAACAATAGGTCCACTGTAAAGAGCTGCTCCTTCATTAATGAAAAGGGTGATGATGTCAGCGTGTCATTTAGTGGGGACCGTAACGATGTTCCACCTGTGATTAATCCAACTGTCTTCTCTGGCCAGCTCACTAGTTCAACACATTAAGTACTGATCACTATGACTAATCTAATAGGCCTGTGGACCAGATATGCATGCCAGAAGTCCTTTTTGGAAGCATGGATATTATCCATGGTTATATGATGTGCAAGAGATGTTATTAAGAGGACAACTGCCTGGTCATTTGCAACCTCAGATCTCCTTCTCTGACCTACAGGTTCTATATATAGTCATACCTCAGGATCCATATGCTTCAGGATAAGTATTTTTGGGTTGCGCTCCACGGCGACCCGGAAATAATGGAGCGCATTACTTCCGGGTTTTGCCACTCGTGCATGTGCAGATGGTCAAAATGACGTCACATGCATGCGCAGAAGCAGCGAAACCTGACCCGCGGACGCCCAGATGAGCAGTCGCATCTTATGTTCTATTCAGGATGCAAACCTTGCTCCAGAACGGATCCCATTCTCATCCCGAGGTACCACTGTATACATTAATATTTCCATGACAAAAGCCTTTCACTGTCTATCTGAAACTGCAAGATGCTCAGATATGCTATCAGCACGCATATTTACTCCCAAGTAAGCTTCAGTGGAAAGGGACGCGGGTGGCACTGTGGGTTAAACCACAGAGCCTAGGACTTGCCTATCAGAAGGTTGGCAGTTCGAATCCCTGCAATGGGGTGAGCTTCCATTGCTCGGTCCCTGCACCTGCCAACCTAGCAGTTCAAAAGCACAGTTCAAAGTGCAAGTACCTTCTCTGGCAGGAAGGTAAATGGCATTTCCGTGTGCAGCTTTGGTTCACCAGAAGTGGCTTAGTCATGCTGGCCACATGACCCGGAAGCTGTATGCCAGCTCCTTCGGCCAATAAAGCGATATGAGCGCCACAACCCCAGAGTCGGTCACGACTAGACCTAATGGTCAGGGGCCCCTTTACCTTTAAGCTTCAGTGGGTGACATCCATTTGTCTGCACACCAGTGGAACAGGCTTCCACTTGTGTAATGGGGACTTTATTTCCTCTCCTATGTGCACCACCAAAAACCTACTCTGGAAGGTTAGAGGTAAGGATGGGGAGGTTCACATTTTATTGAGAAGCTCCCTAATTTGCACACTGACTTCATAGGTGTGGAAGCAAGTGTGCATAGATATATCTCTGTGTCTGATATTTTCACTGTCA